AGTATATTTAATTTTTAATTTGAGTTATTTAAATTTAGTTTTCATCTTTCCTTTTTATGGTATTATTTAATGCATTTATTTGTATTTTATATTTAGGGCTAACTAAGGTTAAAATATTATTTAAAATTTTTATATTTATTTAAAAATTTATATATAATATTATACATATTTATTTGTTTAACCATACACGACAGATGAAAACTCAAAGCACTACTGATGTTGTTAGATTAAACAATCAGGTTATAATAACATTTAAGTGAAGATTTAATATGTAAAGACACATCTTAAATTTACAAGATTAGTTTTTTATATTTATAAATATTTACATTTATAAATCTCTTATATTAACTCTCTATTGTCAATATAAAATTCTCTCTAATTATATATAAATATCTAATATTACATAATATTATAATTATAATATTATCACAAATTATTTCTCCCAAAAAAATTAAAATCAACATAATTTAGAATAAAAGAAGAAATAATAATTAAAAAGTAACTGTTGAACCATCCGACCGGCGAGTCGGTCTGGTTCTCGCAACACGCCTCTCTCTCCCTTCGGCGTCACAAAAAAGCGCCAACGAATGTGGATCTGGTTCTCTCGTTTCTGTTTTGCTCGTAGATAAAATTCCATCTTCTGATTTTCTGAAACATAGAAACGAAGGGTCACGAACTTCCCCCCTATCGCTTCCTCCCTCCTCACTCTCGCTTAGGTATTCCTCTTCGCCCCCTCCATCTCCATCTCCATCTCCATCTCCATCTCCTTCTTTCTGCGTCTCTTCAATTCCATCACAGGCGATTTTGAATTGATCGGGTCCAGTTTTCCTTTTCCATGAATCTTTTCTTCTGTTTTTTTTTTTTTTTTTTTGCTTCCCTTTCCGATGATTCAATCTGTTTTAGCTGTTCTTGTTTCGATTTGACATTTGATAAATTATCTTCAGTTTATTGTAAATCTTAATTAAAGTTTTTAGGTGATTATTGTCATTTCTTTAGATTATCGTCAGTTTCTTTCTTTATAAATGAAATATTATCAGGAGTTTTTGATGATATATGTTTTCATTATATGGTTTTTTGTTTGTGCAACTTTATGTAGCCTTGTTAGATGGTTTTTGAGGAAAATGAAAGATTCTGTTTGTCTCAACAAATGATTCTGGTTTATTTATGGAATTTTTACTGTGCATAATATCCTTAAGTTGAATTCAATGCATAAGAATGAATGGAAGCGTCTAATTATAGCAGTTACTGATTTGGTTGCAGCGATAAGCTTGGGGTAGAGTGGTCATGGATAGGCTCAGTGCTTCTGCTCGTCTTATGATAGTGTCTGATCTTGATCATACCATGGTAGGTTTCATAATTTCTACCTTCTCTCTAAGTGATGCCTTGCTCATCTCAGATATGATGCTCTTTTTGCAGGTTGATCATCGTGATGCTGAGAACGTATCTTTGCTTAGGTTTAATGCATTGTGGGAGGCAAATTATCGACATGATTCTCTGCTGGTTTTCTCCACTGGGAGGTCACCTACACTTTACAAACAGTTGAGAAAAGAAAAACCCATGTTGACTCCAGATATAACCATAATGTCTGTGGGAACTGAGATAACATATGGGGACTCAATGGTGCCAGATGATGGTTGGGTTGAATTTCTGAATCAGAAATGGGATAGGAATGTAGTCAGGGAGGAAACCAACAAATTTTCTGAGCTTACTCTTCAGGTATGGTTAACTGCTAGATAATTTTCAGAATTGATTTTTTTTGCACTGTTAAAAGTGTCTATGAGTTTTATGTGATATCATTAGGTTTTTGGAATGAGCAGGCAGAAACAGAGCAGAGACCACATAAGGTCAGCTTTTATGTTGACAAGAATAAGGCTCATGCAGTGACGAAGGAGCTTTCAGAGTGTTTGGGAAAACGTGGGGTAAGATTCAGTATATTTGATGCAGGAGCATGAAGTTTTTTCTTAATTACTTGTTTTAGTTTGAGCTTTATTTGGAGCCCTGCATCAATATTACCACGAATATGTTGCACCAATCTACATTTCTCCAAAGTGAATGTACCTTTAAGGATATGCATCATTTCAATAGTATTGCTTCTTCAGCTTGCTCGATTGTTTTCTATTCTCTCTTGTTGTTGCTTAATTGTTTTCTTTTTGCCAGTTGGATGTTAAAATAATCTACAGTGGAGGAATGGATTTGGATATATTACCGCAAGGTGCAGGCAAAGGGCAAGCTCTGGCATATTTACTCAAGAAGTTTACATCAGAGGGAAAGCGACCTTCTAACACTCTTGTTTGTGGTGATTCTGGTAATGATGCTGAACTGTTCAGCATTCCTGAAGTATTTGGAGTGATGGTTGGTATTCATCTACTTATTTAGAATAATGTTATAGTTATTAGCTCCTTGGGATAGTATGTTGAGCTCATTATTTCTATTTCATTGTCAACTTTTTTTCATTTCCCCCTTGTCCACAGGTCAGCAATGCTCAAGAAGAACTATTGCAATGGCATGCTGAAAATGCTAAAAATAACCCTAAAATAATCCATGCAACAGAAAGATGTGCAGCTGGGATCATACAAGCTATTGGTCATTTTAACCTTGGTCCAAATACTTCTCCAAGAGATGTCACTGATTTTGAGGAATGTATTTTGGAAAATTCTGGTCATGAAGTAGTGAAATTTTACCTGTTCTATGAGAGATGGAGGCGTGCAGAGATTGAGAATTGTGAGACATATATGTCAAGTCTGAAAACTTCTTGCGTATGTTTACTTTCCCATTCATCCCTTTTTTTATCATGGTTTTGTCATGTTAGTTTCTGAATCTGTCCAAATTTAGGCATAGTCAAGGAACATATCTGTATCTTCCATCAATTAACTGAATATGTCAAATACAATGGTATCTTGTATAGCTTGGGTTTCCCATTCATCTTCCTAGAAAATTCTAATATAACAAAGTGACTTCCCTCATCATTGTTATCTTTTTGGGGGTGAAATTTGAACCCAAAACCTAACTATCCTTACCCTGCCACTCCGTAGATCATGTCCAGACACTGTAAATAAAATGTCCATAGGAGTTTGGAGTATGGATGATTGACTAACTTGATTATAGAAGCTGTAGATAGAAGTTTATAGCTTTCAACTTAAAAGCATTGCCATAATGTACTTTTATGTAACTATGGTTAGAGCTAGTACTTCAACAAGGTTATATTTTAGATCTACTATCATTGGAACCTATTTGACATTTTGCAGTAATTTTTATTGACTTTCTTGATCAAATGACTCTTTAAGAAATGCTGTTTTCCAGTTTTCATTTCTTATTGGAAATTTTATGATCTATGTTCAGAAAGCATACTAGTTAGAACCACCATTTTAATTTCTTTCATCTTTCTTTCATCTTAATCCAGGATGCATCTGCTGTATCAGTCCATCCATCTGGTGTTCAGAAAACTCTTCATGAACGCATACATGAATTGAAAGGGTGGTATGGAGACAAGCAGGGGAAAAAGTTCAGGGTTTGGGTGGATCGTGTATTATCTACACAGATTCGTTCAAGTACATTTCTGGTGAATTTTAACAAGTGGGAGCAATGTGGTGAGATTTCTTTATATTCTTCTATATTCAGCTTCTTTTAAATCAAACGAGATGTCATATCTGCATTTATTTATGCACCTTTTTTACATTCATCTCTTTGTGGTTATGGGAGTAACTGCCTGTCTCTCCAACTTAGATGACCAGCAGTACTAATTTTCATGTGAACGTATTTGCTTTCGAGCCCTTCCTTGCTTTCCTTTTTAATTTATTTATTTATTGAGACCAATCCATGGTAGGCTCTTCAAATCTGTTGAATGCTACTCCACAACTATTCATTGTTTTAAGCTTTTGTCCTCTAAAAGTAAAAAACTTGGATGACATTTTGACATAGCACATGCCAAGAATCCCGAGATTAGAGTTCTAAGGATTTAACTTGTCATCCAAGTGCTTCATTTACACAATTTTTCTTAAGAGGAGAAGTTCCAAATTCAAATTTGAGTGCTGTTACTCTTAATATAAGTAGCCAACTGGTTACAATGTGGCTCATATTTATGGAATTTGTATGCCACTATTGTTCAAGTTGTCACTGACACCGAGCTGTGTCTACTGATCTTCTCGTGCATTCTTGCCAACTTTTATAGGTGATGAGCGGTACTGTTGTGCAACCACGGTGAAGATAAATGCAAAGGTAAAAAGAAGTTATATCATTATAAATGTGTAAACCGATTACTGGAAACTATTTGCTGAGATGATTGATTTGTGGACTTCAGGAGGGTGATGCTTCGCATGGGTTCACCTGGATGCATGTACAACAGACGTGGTTGGAAGGATTAGAAATGAAAGACCAGTCAGCCTGGTTGTTCTAGATCAAAATTATGCCTCATCTCTTGGCTTCAGGGAATTCAGTATTCTATTGAAATAAATGTATTAATGATTTTAATCTTTTTTTTTTTCCTTATATTTCAAACAACTACAGGAAATCAGAAATTATTCCCTTGGTGGATGCTTATAATCAAATAATTATGTATTAATGATAACAACTCAAACTTGAGTCTGGATCATGAAGATTTGGATGGGCTTTTCTAGCTTTTAGAAACCAGTCCCTGTGGATATTCCTTCCCTCTATGTACAATGGAGTTGCAAATAATCAAACTAAAAAATTAAAGCAAGCAACCATCAAGAATAAAAACCAACACATCCACAAAATCAAGCCATTGGATTTTTAACGTGGAAATCCTAGAGGGACAAACCATGGGATTTTCAGTCAGTTGAAAAACTTTCCCTATTGGAATATCAAGATTACAAAGTTTCTCTCTAGGCAAGATTGGAAACTTAACAACAATAAATTTTCAAAAATAAATTCTTGTATCAACATCATTGTAATTAGCAAATCAGTTCATTTTTGGAATGATCCCCAAAACCAGCCACTAACCCTTATTTTAAAGCTCCAATGACTTAATAGTTACTACAAAGTCCAAGCTCCACTAACCAGTAACTCTTTTCCTTACTTTGTCTCCATACCAGCCTTTCAGTTCAATTATGCATCCATGAAGAGTATTTTTCTCATCATCAGAGTGCTATGGACAGATATGCAACAGAGGACAGCCTGATCCTGAAGGAAGGAGGAAAGAAAGTAAAATGGCAATTCTAATTAGTCTAATAAGTTCATCCATAGCTGATAACTTGAAGTTGAATTTTTAAAATTTGTGTGATAAAGGATTAATGATTTGAGCTTAACGCTACCTCAAAGCAGTACTCCATCCATCCATCTTCATACATATCCTCGAATTGTCCCTGATATGGCAAGAGAAATTACCAGAAAAACTCCAAGAAAATCCATGTCCTACAAAAGTGAATTAAAACTTAGCATTTTCTTGATGAAATGAAAGAAAATCTCTCTAGCAACTGTGGGGATGAGAAGGTGAAAAGAGGGATATGCACTGCCCTCTTGCATTACCATAGAGGGTATTGTTTGGAAGGTAGAAGTTTGTTGCTGCAACCATGATGGATCCCAAGTACACTACCATATTATTCATTGAGACATTTGATCTTGAAGCATACTCTGCAAATCAGTTCATTGTTAAGAAAACTAGGATGAAAGACGAATACAGTAGTTGTATCATCGCCATGTTGTAAGAATAATGTGAATGATAGAGAGACTGTGATTGAGATGAGTTCTATACATTTGATAATTGAGATGTGTTTAGGCATTACTTTAAATCTAAAGATTTTCTATAGTCAGAAGCTCCACCTTACTGTGGAGAAACATTTCATAACTGAGATTTAAGGATGAAATAAGAGAGAAGATAACTGAAACTTGCTCACTGTTGATTTTTTACCAATTATAAACGAGAAGCATCTCCATCCTCCATGGACATTAAGCCATCCTCCCTTCATTTGGTTGAATACTCCCCCACATGGTAAGCGAATTTACAAGAGAACACCAATAAAATCCATTTCTTGCAATCTGCAAATGCAAAGTTCAAGGCTAATTAGCCTAAATTAAGATGAAATAATACTGCAGAATAGCCTCATAATTAATTAAATTGATTTTCTTGTTATTTAGATGGACTTTATTATCCAAAAAATTAAAGTAGAATAGAATGATGCAGTAGTAACGTGAGTATAGTTGCATGTGGAAATATGCATGAAATTGAAGAAAGTAAAAAGATCTACCTGAAGCCTGTAAGGTTTTGATGAGGTTGTTCAAGATTTGAGTCAAGTAATTAAGAAATGGTTGTAGTGCCATCTTATGGGAATACCTGCACGGAATGGATTACATATATATAAGATAAGAAAAGGCAGTTGACCAAGCAAGCCTTACTTTAGTTTTATAAATATAAATCGTAAATCAAAAATTTCAGATGAAAAAGCATAACATGATACCCAGTTTCAGTTTCAGAGCAGTAGGTCTCATTACCTGATGCTTATCTATTTCAACGCAAGGGATGGTACATGTGAGAGGCCAATAGTCTCCTTTCGCCTCAAAGCGCTGTGGTTTTAGAAGCGGACAGTCGTAGATCCGAAGTGCTCCAAGTGAGGGAGGTAAGCCTTCCTTTGGCAAGGATCGTAACTTGGGGCAGTTCCATATTGCCAACCTTTGAAGAGAGTTTAGGTTTTGCAGGAGCTGTCTGGGTAATGATTCCAGATTTTCAACCAGTCCGATGGAGAGAGTGGTTAAAGAAGAAGGCAGCACAACATCCGGTGGCCATGTCCGACTGCTAATTTTCAAGTATTGAAGAGAGGTAAGCTTCTGGAGGCTGCATCCCGCCATCGTTGCCAAATGCCCATCTGGAACTGGATTGTATAGTTTCTGAGTCGTATTTGGTAGTAGAAACTTGAGAATCACATCGTCTAATGAAAGAGCTGCTAAGTTAGGGAGCAAAACTTCAATTAAGCCCCTGTTCACTTTCTCACCTGGAAATGGAATCAACTCTATGCTTGGACAATCCCTTATGCTTAGTACCTGAAGCAATTTCAGCTGGTCCATTGTAGTAGAATTTAGGAAGGACTTGAGATTCTTACAACCCTCGATTGTCAACTCCTTGAGATTGGGGGTGCATAAGCCCAAATCTGGGATGGACTCCAAAGCTTTACAATCTGCAATTTCTAATTCAATGAGATTGCTGAGGCATTCAAGGCTGGGTAAGCTTTTCAACATGTCACAACGCCAAATACGAATGAATCCAAGTCCTGTACAATGTTGCAGCAACCCCTTTGGAAAAGATTCTAACCGCTTGCAATTTGTAACTTCAAATTGCTTAAGAGAAGCTGGTAGCTGACCTCCTTGAAAAGAGTTTAGAGATGGAAATTCCTCTATATATAAATATTCTAGATTGCTGTTGTTGTCACCATCATCTTCATGCATCAGTATTTCACCCAGCAGAGAAAGATTTTTACATCCGTATATTGTCAACTGCTTAAGTGTGGTGGGTAAGGACAATGACTTGAGAGAGGGACAACCATCAAGTACCAATTCTTCAAGTCCCAACACGTTGGAGCTATTACTACTGCTTCCATCCATCTTCCTCATCAGCAGATCAGGTAATAATGACTCTAATGCCTCACAACTATAGAGGGCAAGATGTTTAAGATTCAAAGGAAAGAGGCCTTGTTCTTTCCTTGTCAACGACACAAGCAAAGGACAACTCCTAATGTCCATGTTCTCAAGACAAGCAAGGTTTGCTATTTCTGATCCATCCTCCCACAAACAAGCAAGTTCTTCGCACCCTTCAATTTCAAGATTCTCAAGAGCTATTAAGAACTGTGTAAAACACTGAGGCAAGCAAGACATCTCTGAAATATTCTCAATGGTCAATTCAGTAAGAGAGGGGAGATCAACCATGCTCTTCAAAAGAATAACATTGCAGTCTCTAATATGAAGCTTTTTAAGTGGCACAAGACTCGTAGTAGATGAGCATCTAAAATCTGGGCATCCATTTATCACAAGATTCACCAAAGAAGAAAGGTGGCTAGGTAACTGACCTGTCAACTTAGGACAATTTTTAATCTTAAGCTGGCCAAGGCAAGGGAATTCACCTCCACTTCTAGTTGGAGAAGTCCATTCCTTCCAATTTAACATGTTTTGAAAAACCAGCTTCTCTAGTGATGAAAAAGTTCCACTCCCATAAAACTCTAGACCCACTACTTCTATTCCCTCCATGCCTTCAATAATCAATTCTTTGAGAACAAGTGATTGCCCAAGTGACGGTAACAAAGTGCATCTCTTACAATCTCTAAGCTCCAAATATGATAAATTAGAAAAAAATGGATCACCAATCCATAAAGGGAATTTTCGGCCACCATAGGAAACAATTGTGAGACTTTTCAAATTTGAATGAGGTTTCAACCAATTGAGAACTTGAATTTCTTCATTGCTTTCATTCCTTGAATTACCAAAATCAGAAGTCCACTCCAAAAGTAACTCATCAAGACCATCAATATTCTCTAGATTGGCATTCATAGCATCTTGAACATTCAAAACATTTTGTAGATTTAGGATAGACAAGTTACCTCCAAGTTGCAAGAAGTTTCTCAAATCAGATAATCCCATCAATCCATCTTCCTTCCCCACAATAAATTTGGACAATGTTAAGAGATTTTTTAGATTACCCATTCCTGATGGCATGTCTTTCAAGAAATCTGTACCTCTAATATCCAAATGATGAAGGTCAATTAAGTTCCCAATTGCCATAGGTAACTTCAGAAACCTGTGGCAGTTGAAAAGCAACAGTGTCTGTAATTGGAGGAGAAAACCCACTGACTCAGGTAGACTTTCAATTAGAGTTTCTGACAAATTAAGGTACTTCAAATGTACTAAATCTCCAATTGAATCTGGCAGCTCATTTATCTGATAACACTCAAGAGATAGTGCCCTCAACCATCTTAATTTTGGCAGCCAATCATGCACCACTGTATTTGATAAATAGTACTTGAAAGAGAATGGTCCACGTAGTGGCATGAATGTTCGCAAACACTTCATGACATTCAAAACTTCAAATTTCTTAGAGATGTCATAAGTGCCACGAATGAATGACAAATGACGAACCTTTTCAAAATTCACTTTCAATTTTTTATCAACCTCCAACATATATTCAAGATTGAAGCACGATTCTCCAGCAACAAACCGAGCTAAATCATGTATGAGATCATGCATCACATATCGTGATTTATTCCCACTAGAACTTTGAAAAAATGCTCTTGAAACTAACTCAGAGAAATATAGATGACCAGCTTCTATTGATTGTTGTTGTAAAAGCCCACTAGCTATCCACAACAAAACAAGCTGGTTCTTCTCAAACTCGTAGTCTTTAGGAAACAATGCACAGTAAGCAAAACATGGCTTCAAATAAGAAGGAAGATAATGATAGCTCAATCTTAAAGCTGGAAGAATGTTACTTCTAGTTTCTTGCAGCTCCCATATTTCACTATTTAGAATGCGTTCCCACATAGGACGGCTTAACTTACCACATAGGAGGCCCCCAAGGGTTTTTGCTGCCAATGGCAATCCTTTGCACCTTTTAACAATTTTCTCACCAATTTCTTTTAAATTTGGGTGTGCATCAAAATTGTCTGTTCCCAACGCATGTTGAGCAAACACTGACAAGCACTCTTCATCCTTCAATACTTCTAGATGGTAAACTCTATCCAACCCTCCCATAATATCTACAACACGCTCATTGCGAGTTGTGATGATTATTTTACTTCCAGCTGCTCCTGATAAGAATGGTTTTTGTAGACTATCCCACAATAAGTAGTCCTCATTCCAAACGTCATCTAGTACAATTAAAAACTTCTTGTTAGATAACCTGCTGTTCAATTCTTGTTGAAGCAAATTTAAATCATTCAAAACACACTTTGCCCCAATTGCCTCTAGAATGGTTCTTGTTATGCTTGTAATATCAAATTGATCAGAGACACAAACCCAGGATTTAAGCTGAAAGTTTTCTGGGGTCACCTCGTTGTAAACAAGTCGAGCTAAAGTGGTCTTGCCAATACCTCCCATTCCAAGGATGGAAATAACACAAAATCCTTTAGAACCGCCTTCATCATTAAGCAACTTGTCAAGGATAGCTGCTTTTTCGGTTTGTCGACCACAAACATAAAGTTCAGGTAGAGAAGTACTGGGTGACCTTCCTAGAGCCATTTCACCAGGCTTATCTCCAACTTCCATTATTAAGCCGAGTGTGTTTGATTCATTTACCAGACGTTGCAATCTGAGGGTGATGTCATCCACCTTAGAAATGGTCTGGGAATTAGAGATCAACAAATCATTCTGTTTAAAACAGTTGAAGCATGAGGGGATGAATTTACTAGTGCTGGCTTGGTAAGGTTTTGTAATATTCAAACTGCTTCTCTGAGAATCAACTTGTAATTCATCTAAGATGTCCTCCATATCATAAGCCAAGTCCCTAATTTCAGCAAGCCATATCTTTATCAACCGGTTGGAATTAGACATCTGCTTTTCTTCTGCATCTTCAAGAAGGGCAAAGATTATCGGCAATAAGCTCTCCCAGTTTTGCAACTTATTAAGGACCCGCTTCTGCAAATTGAGTGATCTGCTGAACTTCAACTTCTTAAAGAGCCTCTCAAAAGCAACAGATAAAAAAGCACCTCCAGCAATAGATAAGATTTCCATTGAGTAGAATAAGATTTCTATAAAATTAAAGGATCTATTTAGTATCATGAAAATTTAAACTCAAAAAAGAACTGATAAGGAAAATTAAACCTCAAACGTACCACCTATTTTAGTTAAAATTTTCTAAATTAAAAACCGAACCTAAAAGCCTATATATACTCATATATAAACTTGTTTATGTGGTTCTATTTATTTAAAATTATGTTATTTTAATAAATATATTTTCAATCCAAGAAAAACAATGATATTTTAACATTTAAATATTTACAAATTAATTTTTTTTAAAAGTAAAATTGGTTTATTTAATAATGGTCATTTTTTACTTTTAACTATCCATTTAATATTTTAAAAGAAATAAATATTTTTTTGTTACTTTAACTTAAATTTAATAATTAATCCTATCCCCAAAATTTTTTCTAATTTTTTTTCCTTATCTTTATCTCTTAAGTTAATATAGGTAACAGAAAATTTTATAAAAAAAATAGCTACTCTTATTATGACTCAGAGGAGCTGCTATAACAAAGGTAATATATATATTTTCATTTTAAAAATATAAATCAGTAATAAGAAAAAGAAAAATAACGAGGCAGGGATAAGTCTTCTTTTATATTATTAGTCGAAGTCATCCAATGTGAAAAAATAAAAAAGATTCAGAGAATTGCTTTTTGCAGGCCAACGTCTGATGTTTCCCATGGTGAACTACCGGTGGGGATATAGAATAATGAATGCATTTCCTTTGAACCTATAAGAAGAGGAGCAAAGGTGTAGATAAAAATTTTAATTTTGTATTTTTTTAATTTAAAAATATTAATTTTGTCATGATGTCAACTTTTAACGTATTTTAATTTAAAGATGTTAACATTTTACTTATTTTAATTTAAAAATGTGAATTTTTAACATTTAACTTAAAAAATATAAAAAAAATTAAAAGTTAATATCTTTAAAAAATTAATATTTTAAATAAAATAAAATTGACATATTTATTTTCACTTTTCCTCTACCTAAAAGCTAGTAGAAATTAACCCGCTAACCCGCTTTACTAAACAGTTTCCTGTGAGCATTTCCATTTATTAAGAAAGGGGGCGGGGGGAGGGGGTGGGGAATCGAAAATTACAATGTATAATACTAAACAAACACACAAGTTATGAGTCGAAGGGATTATCTAAATATGGGTTTTTTTAAGAATATGGTAAATATACATTTTTATCATAATTTATATTAAGAAAACAAAAGTTAATTCTTAATTTATGAATTATGTAATTAAATTCATCTACTTGATGTTAATATTAAAATTAATGTTAATTTTTATATTTTTTTTATATATATTTATAAAAAAAAATGTGATTAACATGGGTCCTATTAGAAAAACCCTATAAATGTATATCCACCGAAAGATCAAAAAGCCGGAGACAACATAAAATGGAAGAAGCTAGCTAGCATACCTTTTCTTTAGATTAACTTTGTTGCTGTACTGAAAGACGAAGGCGGGTGGAGGAGATGGTCGCAGTGATTTGAGATGCAAGAGACAGCTTCTGATCAGATGATAGAAAGGAGATCTAAAATTTTGGATTCAGCATAAGATCAAAAAGCCGGAGACAACATAAAATGGAAGATGCTAAGCTAGCATACCTTCGCTTTAGATTTAGTTTTCAGGGCTGAAAGATGAAAGTGGGTGGAGGAGATGGTGACAGCGAGTTGGGATGCAACTTTCAAGAGAGGGTTCTGTTCAGATCGTACAGAGGAGAGATCTAAAAATTTGGATTCTCCGCCAAGTTTTTTAATATGAGTTTTTCCAACAGGTGCCGAGCCTACAAGTTAAAGTCACTTTCATATTATAAATTTATATAAAAAATATAAAAAAATTAATATTTATTTTAATAAAATTATTATATAAATAAATTTAATTAAATAATTAAAAATTTTAGTTTTAAGTTTTATTCTTTTAAGAGTTTTCTTCTGTATCTTAAAAATATACAATAAAAACACTATTTTTATCCCTAAAGTTTGGCATGGGAGATAATTAAAAACACAGTCAACGAGAAATTTGCTTTATCTTAAGTCCAATTTACACTCGTACTATAAATTTGGGATTAGAGGGGGCTCTGTCTCCAACAAATACCCATGTATACCGCATATGAACGTGTTTCGACTTTGGTATGGATTTGAGAAGAAAATATTGCTTCGGTTAAAG